ATACAGTAATAGGAGGGACAGTAGAAGTCTGTTCTTTCTAGAGTAGAAACAATCTAAGTGGAAATCAGTTCAGGCTCTGTGTGTAGTACTTGTACCAAAATGAGGGTAGGCTACACTCAGATGTGCAGAAAAACAGGGCTGAATCTGCTTCCACTCTGAAGGGGCAAATCATTTTAAATGGAGTCTGCTTAAGCAGACACTATGTACTAAACCTTTGGATCTGGATCAGGTTTCACTATGCTGGCTGGGATGTTTTCAAGCCATGTAGAATACTCTGCTTTCTCTTCAGATCGTGTAAATCTTTCCCCTTTTCAAGCCATATAGAGCATACTAGAGAAGTAATAAAGAAGAATGTTCAGTTTTTCTATGGGATTAGCTTTGAAAGAGCAGTGAAGGAGGAAGAGGGGATGCGTAGAGGTTAGTCAATTGGTGCAAAGTTACAATTAGATAGAAAGAATAAATTCTGGTTTTCTATTGCACAGTAGAGTGACTGTAGTTAGCAATAATTTATTGTATGTTTCAAAATACCTCGAAAAGTAGATTTTTGTATGTCCTTACCAAAATGAAATGATAAATGTTTGAGGTGATGGATATGATAATTACCCTGATTTGGTCATTATACATGTATACATGCATTGAAAAATCACACTGTAGTCCATAAATATGTACAATGATTATGTGTCCACTAAAATTTCTGTCCGGTAGTGGTGGCACATGCTGGTAATCAATGAGGTGAAGATGACGAGGCAGGAGGATCATGAGTTTGAGACCAGCCTAGGCTATGCTTTGAGCAGGGGGCATGACTCAAGTGGTAGAGCACCTACCTAGCAAGCTCAAGGCCCTAAGTTCAAACCCTAGTAATGCCAAAAAGTATGTAAAACAACTGCGGGAGCAGTTGCTGTATATTGTATAGAATGCCAGAATGCAAGACTATAGAAGTAACTTAGGAAGGGAACACAGAAAGCATTTCATAGTCTTGCATAAGAGCTTTCTGAATTCTTCTGAATGGTAAAATGCAGCCTCCTTCCTCCACCCCTCATATAACCTAAAGGACTTTGGGCTTTGAAACTATTTTCAGTGCCAGGTTGTTGCACAAAAACAGGTATTGATTGGCTTACAGGCCCAGGGTATATAACTTTAAAACCCATATCCTCATTGTGAAATTAATATGTGAATTTTCTTCCCTATTTAAAAATAGATTTTACTTTAACTTATCTTAAAATCTACTTATATTTAAACCTACTGTGACTAACTTAATTTCAAAGGTAGCTGAGTCTTAATACTGATACACTGAAATTGCCCAGGGATGAAAATGAAGGTAAAGGCTTGGATCAGCTGGTTCTTTTTCAGATGGGCTTTGGTGAACTGACTGAACTCTCTCTTGAATTTAGAAAAACAGTGATAATACCCTCTTCCAATAGTACCATAAAAATGGGCATTAGGGCTGCTGTGACTACATGTAAGCAAAACAGGCAGAGAAAAGGACAAAATTTCTGCATTAATGTTTGTACAGGCAAAAAAGAAGATTCCTCTGTGCACCAATTGGCAAACTTTTTTGTGCTGGGATCGAACACAAGTCTTCATATGTGTCAGGCAAGGACTCCACCACTAAGCTACATTTGGAGCCCCAGCAACCCATTCTGAACTGCTAAAGCTTCTGGGAAATGTGCTAGTTAACATTCAGAATCACTATGGAAGCACAAGAGTTGAAGCCTAATCCCCAATACCTACCCCCAATCCATGTTTGATCATCTGCCCAATTAGGTACCCCCAACACACACACACACACACACACACACACACACACACACACACACACACAAAGGGAAGGGTGCAAGGCAATCTTAGCTAGGGGACACAGAAGGACTGCAGACCTTATGTACATTAGTGAGAGGAGAGGGAGAGATCACTTCCAACTGAGGTGGCTTCAGAGGCTCTAAGAATAAACAGGATCAGAATAAAGGAGGAAGAGGAGGGCAGTTGGTAGGAAGAAATGGCATGTAAGAAAAATGAGAGGACTGAATATGGCATACTTGAGACATAGTCAGTGAGGCAGAGAAATGCATGACTGGGTTGGGATTCTCTGCTTAAGGTCAGGCTGAAGAGTGTAGGATTCACTCTACGGGTGGTGGGCTTGCCATCTAGGGCCTCTGAGCAGGAAACTGACAATTGAAAGCAGAGAGGAGTGAATCTGAATTTGATGGTAATGTGTGAGGTGGATTGGAGGGAGAGACAGAGGTGGTCCAGATAAGAAGCCATAAGAGACTCAATTCTAGACATGAATGTTTATACAAGCTTACTTCATAGTAGCTCAGCACTAGGAATAACTCAAATGTCCTTCAGCAGGTGCATGAATAAACTCTAGAATATCCAAATACTACCCAGCAAAAATAGAGGCATGAACTACTGATATATGTAACAAGTTAAATGGATGTCCAGAGAATTATGAACTGAAGTCCCTTAAAACAGGCTACCTTTGAGCATCCAGATTGTTTAAATTTCATTGGTTAGAGCACTGTGACCTTGTGGAGAAATAAAAATGCTATAAATTAAGAAGTCTAAGTTGTATTGGGCTATAAGCTACTCTCTGACAGTCAATTATCATGGACCTTTTTGCTAGTTTAGTATTTTTGTGTGATTGCTTTATGGAATTTTGCAATGTATGATAGGTTCAAGGATCTCCAACCTCTATTTAAATCCTGAGGCTGGGAAAGAGCCAGTACCTGTTTCTTGGGAGGATTTCTTCACTTTTTTGTAGTTTGCCTACCTGATTACCCTACCTTCTTTCTTCTTAGGACTAAAGGCTTGTGTCGCCCCTTTACAGAGGGAAACATGTCCTTTAGGAGCCCATGCTGTTAACTTGAGTTTGTATTCCCAGGGTGTGGTATTTTTTGTTGCCATAGAATAAGTCACTTTCTTGTTTTAGAATTGTTATTTTTTAATGTTTATAGCATTATGCTGAATTGAAAGAAACCAGTTTCAATATGTTATATACTGTATGACAGCATCTATATAATACTCTGAAAAAGACAAAAGTATAGTAATAAGGGATCCATATCAGTGATTGCCAGAGTTTAGGAAAAGAGGTACAATATGGGTACAAAAGTATAACATGAGAAACTTTGTGGGAGGTGATTGAACTATGTTCTGGTTGTACTGGTGGCTAAGCAAATGTATACACTCAAAATTCATAGAAAGGTACATGCATGAGTCAACTTTGCTGTTGACAATATTTTTAACAGATTAACTTGCTGCCACTAAATTGGAAATCTTTGGTGAGGCAATGATTAAATCTTTATAATTATTTATATTTCAGCTAGGCATGGTAGTGCATGCCTATAGTCCCAGCTACTTGGGAGGCAGAGGTAGGAGGATATTGAATTAGAGACTGACCTGGGAGAAATTAGGGGGACCCTATCTCAAAAACAAAAACAAAAGGGTTGGGAGTGCAGTTCAAGTGGTAAAGTGCTTGCCTAGAATTTTACTACTTGAGGCCCTGGGTTAAATTCCCAGTACCACAAAAAAAAATTATATTTATCATGAAATCTCTCCTCAAATAATAAAAAATTTATCTCTCAATGGCAAATGAAGTCTTCATGCTTAATTATAAATTATAAAGCATTAAGCCAACACAAATATTTGTTCTTGCAATGCTTGCTTTTTTTTTCTCCCTGGTAGTCTCAATTGTTGGCTGAGGCATCCTGCTGTGATCACCTAGACAAGAGAGCAACCCCTTCCTTTTCTTGACTCTCCAGCTGGCTCCACTGGCCAGATTACCCTTCTAGTCACCACCTGCAGGTACCAGTGGATTCTGGGTTGCAGGTATATCAGTTTCTTCTTTAAACTAAAACATTTTTACAACAATGATGTTCTCTATGCTTTCTGATTACACATGTTGATAGTTCTTTTTTATTAAATGGAGCAGAATGAATGATTATCAGAGTATCTCAAGACTGTTCATGAATGAGTGAATGAAAAATTCCACCTGCTTAATAAGCCTCATAATCTATAGAGAAATACAGGCTACTCTCTCCTTTTTAAGTGTTTCATTATGAGAATTATTTTCCTATAAGCACATTTCTTTCTCAATAACAAAACATTTCCCTACAAACATTTTTTGAGTTCCAAAAAAGTGCACTCGATGGAAAGCAGGCTTTTCTGTGAATTCATCTCAACGAAGACACTGGATTCTACAGAGCACAAGGACAGAAGGTCTCTTGAAACCTACATTTGAAACATAAGTGGAAGCCACCAGTAGTCACCAGCTAAAAGCTCAGACACCTAATACTTGATAACTTGAGTTCAGCCAGAGAGAGTAGTGGATTACTTATACAAAATTACTGACAAGATAAAACTGGGTCTCCTTCTGCAGATTAATTTGGAAGTCAATTTTTAAAGGTGCTGTTTCAGTAACATTTTTAAAAAGTCTAACATTGATGTATGGTAAATACTGTCTTTTTTTTGTAACCATTAGAAAACTTTTTACAAGTCTTAAAAATTAATTTGTCATCCATATTAAGTGTTAAATATTGCTCATGAGGTATCCCTTTTTAAATATCGTTTTTAAAAGTACACCGATTGTTTAAAATACAACAGAAAGCTATTCAAGAAGGTTAGTAAATTCTTCTTGAAGACCACAGTCTTCTTTTCCAGCCCCCCTCCCCCTTACTTACTACCTTCACCCATCTTAATGCTGGATAGGATTCCAGGGGAAATGGTGGACTGAAGGGGCTTGGGCGGGGGAGAAGGGAGTTATTAGGAGTAGGAGAGAGAAAAAGATGATTCCCCAAATTGGAAGAATTGGTCGATTAACCCTAAGACGCTGATCTTCCCCGGCATTCTGAGAAATGCTGATACATACTACAGGGTGAAGACACCAGTTTTATTGTCTCTGATGGCAAATACGAAAAAAGATTGACAGTATCAAGTGGAGGGAATGTAAGGGGCGGGGTGCAGTGTTAATGGGAGGGGTAACCAAGGACTCGAGCTCATTGATGACGCGACCCTCACGTGACCAGGAGTCGACGTGTGCAGAAGTCCTTCTAGTCCAGGCCCTGTTTCCCAGTAGTAGTCCCCTTTTGCTGGAGGAGAAAAGTGCCCCGGATCCTTTCAGGTATAAGAAAGATGTCCTTGGAGACCATGGGGTGAAGGAAGCAGAGAGTGGAGAACAACGGGCCGGCACTGCTTTCACAACACTTCTGTTCTGCCAAACTCCCATTTTGTGCAGGAAATTTTGTACTGTTGGTGGGGGCGGGGGCAGGAGAAGGGTAGCTAATAGAGGGTCCCGACAAAGGTTGGGGGAGGGGAGAGAGAGAAAGAAACAATGTGAGGGAGAAATTTGACTGTCATTCCCTGCTTACTTGCAGGGAAACGGTGGGCAAGGAGGGCGGGGTTGCCACAAAAGGAGGGAGGGAGAGGATGAAAATTTGGGCAACTTTAAACCAACAAGGCCTATACTCATAAAAAGGGCCCTTTGATCCATGCATGTACTGGCGTGCTCACCAAGCACTCTTGTCTGTCTGCAGGACTCTTGGTCTTTTGGGCGCGACTCAAACCGAAGTGAGGGAAGAGAGGAAAACCCCTGGATTTGTACAGGTCAGTGCAAGGATACAGTCGTTTAAGGTCCCTTTGGGTGGAGGGGGAGGTGTGGATGTCACCAAAGCACATCCTGGGGTCTCCGCAGCCTCTTCCCATTCGGATTAAGCGCGGGCATGGGGCCCGTGCACTGCCTGCAGCGGAAATGGGGTGGAGAGGGGGCGAGAGGCTGGAAAAAAAAGTGGAAGAGGGGAGGGGAGGCCAGAGCTGGCCTCTTTCAGGTGTGGGGCTGGAGGCTTAGGAAAGCACTAAAGGACTACAGTGTTGGAGATCTGAGGCGAGGGAAGGGTTAATTGCTTTCGCGCTGCTCCCATTTCAGTGCTAGGAGAGGCCTGTAGCAGGGCCTGCTGGGAAAATGGTGGGCTGGAGCTGGGAGAAGATGGAGCTGAAGCCTGAAGGGGAGGAAGGGGTGGAGTCTGGGGAGTTTTAAGCCCAAGAATCTACCCTTGTCTAGTTGGAAAACTTTTGACAGGCACCTGAATCAGAAAAGCCAGTCGCTATGGGGACACATACTCTGGGTGTTTGTCCCTTTGCCTGGCACCTAGGCGTTTTGTTTCCTTGCTTTCCAGGATTAATTTATTCAAGAAGGAAATAATAAAAATACGCAACATGCAAAACTCTAGTGAAGAAAATGAAGGAAAACCACAGAACATGCTAAAAGCAGAGGAGGACCGTCCTTCAGATGATGTACCACAGGAGGCAGAAGGAAATCCTCAACCTTCCGCTGAAGCTGTAAGCCTGGAGGCAGAAGGAAACCTGAGAGCAGGGCCAGCTCAACCTAGCCAGGGATTTAAAGAGGACACTCCCGTTAGGCATTTGGACCCTGAAGAAGTGATAAGAGGAGTAGATGAGTTGGAAAGGCTTAGGGAAGAGATAAGAAGAGTAAGAAACAAGTTTGTGATGATGCATTGGAAGCAAAGACATTCACGCAGCCGTCCTTATCCTGTGTGCTTCAGGCCTTGATTTTTTTTTTTGTCTGGTATTGAAATCTGGCTGCTGCTTTCTTTCTGTTAGCATTTTCTGATGTATTTTTGACCTTCATTTTACTTTTAATTACCTGGTGGTATTTTGTTTTAGGTAGATTCCTTGTTACCAGCATCTCATTGGATTTTGGATTTTGACCCATTTTCCAGGTTTATTTTTCAGTTGAAAAATTTCAGACATATGCATGGAAATAATGTTCATTCCATATTGTACAGTAAAATATAACAGGTTACAAAGCAGCATATTTAGTGTCTGCTCACATATATAAAATAAAATTCCAAAGTGTGTGTGTTTGTGGGCATGTGTGCATCATACATATGTATCTCCAAAACTTAACTGCTTATTTCTGTGTGGTGTGAAGTTTTATTCTTGTTCTGCTTTTTTTTTTTTTTTGCTTATGTGTATTTTTTAATGAACACATGTGTCTCACACACACAAAAGAGTTGGGATTTTTTATAAGCAAGAGTCAATAAAAAATAATTTGCAACCAGCTTGTAAGGGCAATGGGGCACCTAAACTCTTGATGAAAGAACTATTAAAAAGAAATGTAAACCTCAAATTACCTCTGAATCTCTTAGCCAGAGGAATAAAACCGGCAATCATTACAGATACACTTGCTTAAGAGTCAGTCTTTTTGTGGGGAAAATATTTGTCTCATAGGGTTGCTGTGGGGAATAAATGATAACAGTAACTCAGCTGTACTTGTTGACACCTTGTTCCACCTGTGCATACAAAAGCCCAACCTGCTATAGAACTATCAATTGTGTGAAAAAGCACCTAGTGTGATTCAACCTGTGCTCAGGAACAAGTCCAGTAGAGATAGGAGCTTCCATGCTAATCCTCTGCTGTAGAGCCCCACCTTTGTCTCCCCTGGGTCCTGCTGTGCCTGCTAGCCATAGCTGCCTCTGCTTCTGGGTTTTTTACTTTCTATTGTTGCCTCTCCCTCCCAGTGCTACTGGTATACTTGGAACCTTGAGTGCCAAAACCCCACTGAGTTTCCTGGAGTTCCCAGTGGGTTGAACCCTGTGGGTTGAGCTCCCACTGTCTTCTTAGGCCTCTCTGCTTTATAGTGAAACTTAACACAGGTGGAATGGCTCTAGGGTTGCTGGAGCCACAATGTCTTGCACAGTCTTTCGCAAAACAGCCTCCTCTCTTTTCAATTACTGGGCGCCTTATCTCCACAGGAGCCTGATATAAGTCCATTTAGGAATTGGACCCGGGTAGAAGTCTGAGTGAAAGACATGGTACAATAGTCAAAAGTTAGTGCTCTTGAGTGTAAGAAGGTTTTTGTCCTCCCTGAAGGCTCTTGGCACATCTTCCCTGTGTTGGTTCAGGAGACTCTGGGGACATGTGTGAACTGTACAAAGTGATTGCTGGGAACACATCTAAGGGAACAATCTTCATCTCACCTCTTTTCCACCTCATCCCCTTTCCCACAGAAACTTAGGTAAAAATGCTTTGTAAAACTAAGGGTGTGTGTGTGTGTATGCAAGAAATTGTTCCCCTACCCTCCATTCCATTCCCTGTTAAAATGTAGGAAAAAACAGAAACTTTCAAGGACAGTAAGAGCAAGACAAATACTCTACTATATAATTGTTAGAGATTATGTTGTTTATGTAGAACAAATACTAACTTTTCCTTCTGATACCCTTCATAACTTGGGTATTCAATTGATACATTGTGTTTTAATATTTAATTGATTTTGAGTAATTATGACTAAGGAGCCAGATTATTACTTAACATTCAGTACGTTTGTCAAATTCTGTTACTAAATAATCTACAAATCTTTTTATTTCTTTAGAGTTATGACCAGCAATTCCAAAAAGAAATGGGGCAGAGAACAGATTGTACTCCAAATGTTTTACCAAAGTATCTTGTAATATTGCCTGCATCAGAGTCAGCTGTGGAGCATCTTGAAAATGCTGGTATCTGGGCCTCACCTAAGACCCACTTGATTCACATGGTGAAGATAGGCTGTAAAATCTGTTAACAAACTCCTTCAGGTAATTATCATACACACTGAAGAATGAGGACTACGGGTATATACAATGTGCTTTTCAATATTATAAATAAAGATCATGAAGTAAAAGAAAATATTGGTAAATGTTTACTGATATTTAGGAAGAAGGCCTGTACAAGCATTTTTATGAATGAAATATTAAAGACTGACAGATTTATACATAGATTTAAAAATTTAATTCTTACAAGGGAGAGACAAATATAAAATGAATTTTCTTGACTGAAATCATGTTGAGCTATGCATTCCCTTCTAATATGAGCACAGTGTATCAGAACTAAATTATAAGTTCACTGTGTACTCATCTCAACAGCCAGCCTTGTACCCTTGGTTATTATTTTGCTTTTATTATCTCATTGTATTAGGGGAGTTCTTCATGTCTCCAAACCATTCTTCAAGGTTGTGGCAGCCTGATAGATGCTGGTGGGGCTGGAATTCCAGCTGGAATGAGTTAAGGTTTCAGGGGTTCATTGTGCCAGTTTTATAAGAAAAGCTAAATACATCCCCTTGACACTCAGAGAGGTGTACTCAGGTGGGATGTGCAGAGGCTCACCAAGCTACACTCCTTTCGGGTGGGTCTTCCTTTGGTTCTCTGCTCCAACATGCAGCAGGCCCCAGGTCCTCCAGGGCTGGTGGCTGTACTGTCCTGGACAGACTTATCTGGAGGAGGACCACTGTCCCCTTTGCAGGTTAAAGCATGTTGCCATTCCCTCCATTGCCCTTTCTCTTTTGGGAATCATTTTGCAGGGAGGAGATAAAAGCCTTCCTCATTTATAGCATTGATTGGGATAGTCTTTGAGCAAGCAAGTGTCTGCACTGGGTCTGACTATGTCACTTGGAGTTGAAGCAAAGGGGGCTGACTCAGAATCCAGTGAAGTAGCATTCAGAATAATTGGAGCAAAAATGAAGTTAGCCAGCAGACAAGATCTCAGGCATCCCTATAGCACCCACCTTGCTCAGACTCCCAGAAGGACCTGGGATGTGCCCTGGCATGTTTTAGTGGTTCTGTGATGACTTAGCAGTTTTCGTGGCTCAAGGCATCTCATGTCTGAATCATTCCAGTCTCCAAAGTAGAGGGGACCCCAAATAAATGCAACTTGTAAAGACATGTAGCCCTACAACTCAGGAGCAAAGAGGTAGTGACCCTTTTGTTTGTATAATTTCATATACTGCAAGCCCAGTCCTTGACTTGGAGACCAAGGCAGTCAGACTGTGAATTGGTGTTAAGATGTTTTTTAAAGCATTGATGGGGCTGGAAGCTGGTGGCACATACCTGTAATTCTAAGCTACTCAAGAACCAGAGATCAGGAGGATGACGGTTCAAAGCCAGCCTGGGCAAATAATTTTCAAGACCCTATCTCGAAAATACCCAACACAGAAAAGAACTGGTAGAGTGGCTCAAGGTGTAACATCTGAGTTGATGGTGGAGGAAGCAATGCAATGAAGCCTTGCTCTTCAGGTCTGTCATCTGAGGGAACATTACCAGATTTCTGACATCCTAAAGGATTGTTTGGGCAATAAGGGGAAGATAAAATTCAAATTCTTAGGTTTAGAGTGTACTATGGTTAAGTATATGGATGAGCTTATAGTCAGATAAACCTGGGTACCAGTCTGGGCTCTTCTCCCTACTGACATGTAATCTTCTCTAAAGTGATTATCCTCTTTCTTGGGAGATACCCACTTTCTTGGAGACTGGACCACTCATAGGGACCCCAAACTGTTAGATCAAACAAAAAATTTCCTCTCCAGCACCGTCATTGCTGTCATCATCATCATTATCATAGTCAAGTGTTGGTGTTGAGTGAATCCTCATGGATTCTTGTTGGGCACAAGTCACATAATGTGAAATTTTGAAATGATCATTAATTAAGCCCTGAAAATTCATTATAATGGAAACAATAATGGAATCTAGTATGATGGAAAAGCACTGGCTAGTGTGAGATCATATTGATTCATTTGTATATGAAATTAACTATATTCATATATAAAATGAGACTAACTTGTTTTTGGAAAGTAAACACAGGAAATTATATGAAATGCCAAGCATAAAATATGTCTTCAAAGAATGTTAGATCAGCAACCATTGTTACTGTCAATGTCACCACCTATTCCTCTCCCTTGCATAAAATATGAAATTTCTGCAGAAATTAAATAGAATACATGTCAGTCATTTGGAATTTTAAAAAACAATAACTGAATTACATGTATATTTACATTATGTCTGCATTTTGGTGCTATTTTTGTATTGTAGGTTGAAAAAAAACCCAGAAAACCTCCACAATTTCATTTTATTTAGTTATGTGCCAGAAAATTTGAAATCAGGAGGAAAATCTTACTTTCATGAATTACAAAATGATGTAGAAATATGTTATTGATTCAGAAAGTTATTTCTGACATGCTGTTTCAGGAAAAGCCACACCTACAAACCCAAGTTAAGGACAAATATAAAAATATTTAAAGTGAGTATTTCTAGATTATTTTGTTATTGGAAATTTATAGCTTCATCTTTAGCCTTTATTTCCAATTTTATTTATTTCAATGAGTATGTGGAGCTTTTTAAAAAGTCATAAAAAGGAAAACAGTGTAATTCCATTTCTCCTTTCTCTTTAGTTGATATAGGGCTGTTGATTCTTTCAATTCCTCCTTTGTTGTCTTTTCCCTAGTACTTCTAAGAAGAATCTGATATAAGCGTTGGATGTCTGTGGGTCCTGAATGAGAAACTTCCTCTCTCCTTAACTAAATTACCACACTCTCTCCTTAACTAAATTTATGCTGTAGTTCTGTCTTTGGTCACATGGTGGCATTTCATAGCTACTTTCTAAATATTCTCCAATAAAGTTACATCAATTTCTCAAAATAAAACAGAAATAAAAATGACTTTCAAAGGACATTATGAGGTGCCAGGAGTATAGCTCAGTGCTAGAGCACTTACCTGGCATGCATAAGGCCCTGGGTTCAATTCCCAGCATTGCAAAAAAAGTTTTGTGATTGATTCTTAATTATGCTTAAAATAAGTAGAAAAAAATATTGAAAGGCTATGCCTTCAGTTGTGTTTACTAGATACTCCCAAATTCACATTTTGTTTGCTTATGTAATAAATATTTACTGAAAGTCTATTATATGTCAGACTGTGCTGCCCAAAATCTATTTATCCATCCCAGACTTTTCTCCTATTCAACTCTGCTGGAACTAAACACTTGGATCAAAATAAATATCACTGGGCTGGTGGAGTAGCTCAAGTGGTAGAGCACCTGCCTAGCAACTGTGAGGCTCTGAGTTCAAACTTCAGGCCTGCCAAAGATAAAGATAAATGTTATTATCAATTATATGGGCATAACTCTGCCCATTTATCACTTTTAGCCAATCCATTCCTTAATCCTAGTGGCTCACTATGTAAAGTGGAGACAGTATGAAAAAGCAGGGAAAACACAGTTTTTAGAGGCAGGAAAATCTGTGTTGAAATAAACATTTTCTTATTTCAGAGCTCTTGTACTTGATCAATGGGATCCTTAATTAACCCAAGAAGTGGATTAATAACATCAGGTTTCCAATACAAGACATAACTACATCAGGTAGGGTTGATAGTCAAAATCT